CGGGCCCTCTTTTGAGTTATGCGGATGTGATTTATTTTTATTTTCTTTCCCATTCCCAATTTTTGGGTCTTTTGCTCAAGTCTGATGGTTCTGGGGACAGTCAGCAAAGAATCTTGTGTCATTCCTTTCGGTTTAGCGCTGCCTTGGAGGCTTTTAGAATGGGTATGTCAGCGCACGTGGTGCAAAGAACCGGGAGGGGGTATGGTGAGATGTCTCGGTGAAGTAATGCTGGTTTCGTGGAATTTGTTCAATCCTTGGGGGGTTCGGGTTCAATTCTGAATATGTTGATTTTCGTGGCCAGAAAAGATAGATATATAAAACACACTGTATACAATAACTACACATTATTATTATTATTATTTATTATTATTATTTATGATTATTATATTATTATTATAGCATTATTATTTATTATTATATTAATTACATTATTATTATTTATTATATTATTATTATTTATTATTATTAATTATTATATTATTATCATTATTTATTATTATTATTTTTACTATTATTATTATTATTATTTATTATTATTATATCATTTTTATATTATTATTATTTATTATATTTTTATATTATTTATTATAGTATTATTATTATATTATTATATTATTATTATATTATTTATTTATTATTATATTATTATTTATTATTATATTATTTATTATATTATCATTATTTATTATTATTATTTATTTATTATTATATTATTATTTATTATATTATTATTATTTATTATATTATTATTATTTATTATTATTTATTATATAATTATTATTCATTATATTATTTATTATTATTTATTATATTATTATTTATTATTATTTATTTATAATATTATTATTTATTATTATTTATTATTAAGTGTTCTTGCATAGCAAGACCACTTAATGTTATCTCACATATATATTATTAAGTGTTCTTGCATAGCAAGACCACTTAATGTTATCTCACATATATATTATTATTATTATTAAGTGTTCTTGCATAGCAAGACCACTTAATGTTATCTCACATATATATATTATTAAGTGTTCTTGCATAGCAAGACCACTTAATGTTATCTCACATATATATTATTATTATTATTATTATAGCAAAATTTGCCACCCTAACTCCTCCCACAGTTTTACACTACATAGACAAAATTTGCAAACGTGCAGATTGTTTCCCGATCAGTTGCTATTGTGGAGCGTTTGCTTGAATGGTTTCGCGGAATATATCGTCGTTCTTGTGGTGAAATTGGTCCCATAGGAATGAATGGCAAAATGTTCAAAACTAGAGTGGGAGCTGGCAAAAGCTGAAAAATCAGGACATGATTTCTAAACTACCACCACTCCTTCATTTTCAAGCCCACCTACACAAATCGTATATCAAAATGTTCAGCTATCCTTGCTGCCACTAAAAATGTCCACGGCTAAACCATAGTCCTGATAGTTTTCACAACATGACCATTTGTTTGCAACTCACGCCGTTCATTGACATTCATTGAAACTCCACACTAGCCAGCTCAAACTTGAAGGGCAATTTCTAAACTGCGACTGTGCCTTCATTTTTAATACTTCAGAGACATACTATGCATCAAAATGTAGGTCTGGGTCTTGTGATTCTCACAATATAAAGCTCTTCGCTGTGGGATTTATAGTTTTTAAAATATGACCGTTTGAAGATGGCAACCACCAAAATACTCTGACCTGTCAAGGCTGCAGCAGCAAGTGATGTCATAGACAGGGCCTTTTGAACACCTGCTAATGTTTTTTTATAAATGTATGGTTTAATGTAACTGTGCAACAACGTTGCAATTAAATGTGCTATATAAATGATAACAGTTACTCCGCCCACTCCAGTTGTAGACTACAGGTAGAGGCAAGGAACCTTCACACAATTTCCCCAAATTGTAACTTTTCTAGTTAAGTGTTCTTGCATGTAAGCATTTCCTGTGTTGTCTCACATATATATTATTATTATTATTATTATTATTGTGGTATTCTTATTATAACCAAATTTGCCACCCTAACTCCTCCCACAGTTTTTACACTACATAGACAAAAATTTACCAAAACGTGCAGATTGTTCCCGATCGGATTGCTATTACTTTGTGGAACGTTTCGCCGAATGGTTCACGGAATATCGTCGTTCTTGTGGCGAAATTTGTCCCATAGGAATGAATGGCAAAGCTAGAGTGGGAGCTGGCAAAAGCTGAAAAATCAGGACATGATTTCTAAACTGCCACCACTCCCTTATTTTCAGGCCCACCTACACAAATCTTATATCAAAACGTTCAGCTATCCCTCCTGCCACTAAACATGTCAACGGCTAAGCCATAGTCCTGATAGTTTTCACAATATAATCATTTGTTTGCAACTAACGCCGTCCATTGACTTTCATTGGAACTTCACTCTGCAAAGCTCAAATTTGAAGTGCAATTTCTAAACTGCGACTGTGCCTTCAATTTTAATACTTCAGAGACATACTATGCATCAAAATGTAGGTCTGGGTCTTGTGATTCTCACAATATAAAGCTTTTCGCTGTAGGAGTTATAGTTTTTAAGATACGACCGTTTGAAGATGGCAACCGCCAAAATACTCTGACCTGTGTCAAGCTGCAGCAGCAAGTGATGTCATAGACAGGGCCTTTTGAACACCCGCTAATGTTTTTATAAATGTATGGTTTAATGTAACTGTGCAACAACATTGCAATTAAATGTGCTATGTAAATGATAACAGTTACTCCGCCCACTCCAGTTGTAGACTATAGGTGGAGGCAAGAACACTTCACACAATTTCCCCAGAAATTGTAACTTTTCTAGTTCTTATTAAGCTATTATAAAGCAAAATTCTGCCACCCTAACTCCTCCCACAGCTGGTACATATGACCAAAATTTACCAAAAAACGCGTGATTGTTCCCCATCGTATCTCATATTACTTTGGAACGCTTCACGTAATGTAATTCACGGAATATCGCCGCTTTTGTATGCCAATTTGTCCCATAGGAATGAATGGCAAAAGCTAGAGTGGAAGTTGCCAAAAGCTGAAAAATCAGGACATGATTTCTAAACTGCCACCTTTATTTTCAGGCCCACCTTACACAAATCTTATATCAAAACGTTCAGCTATCCCTCCTGCCACTAAACATGTCAACGGTTAAGCCGTAGTCCTGATAGTTTTCACAATATGACCATTTGTTTGCAACCAACGCCGTCCATTGACATTCATTGAAACTTCACTTTGCAAAGCTCAAATTTTAAGTGCAATTTCTAAACTGCGACTGTGCCTTCAATTTTAATACTTCAGAGACATACTATGCATCAAAATGTAGGTCTGGGTTCAGGACTTCACAATATAAAAGTTTTCGCTGTAGGGATTTATGTGTTTTTAAAATAGCGACCGTTTGAAGATGGCAACCACCAAAAAACTCTGACTTGAGTCAAGCTGCAGCAGCAAGTGATGTCATAGACAGGGCCTTTTGAACACCTGCTAATGTTTTTATAAATGTATGGTTTAATGTAAATGTGCAACAACGTTGCAATTAAATGTGCTATGTAAATGATAACAGTTACTCCGCCACTCCAGTTGTAGACTACTGGTGGAGGCAAGAACACTTCACACAATTTCCCCAGAAATTGTAGCTTTTCTAGTTATTATTATTCTTATTATAGCAAAATTTGCCACCCCTAACTCCTCCCACAGTTTTTACACTACATAGACAAAAATTTACCAAAACGTGCAGATTGTTCCCGATCGGATTGCTATTACTTTGTGGAACGTTTCGCCGAATGGTTCACGGAATATCGTCGTTTTGTGGCGCAATTTGTCCCATAGGAATGAATGGCAAAGCTAGAGTGGGAGCTGCCAAAAGCTGAAAAATCAGGACATGATTTCTAAACTGCCACCACTCCCTTATTTTCAGGCCCACCTACACAAATCTTATATCAAAACGTTCAGCTATCCCTGCTGCCACTAAACATGTCAACGGCTAAGCCGTAGTCCTGATAGTTTTCACAATATGACCATTTGTTTGCAACCAACGCCGTCCATTGACATTCATTGAAACTTCACTCTGCAAAGCTCAAATTTGAAGTGCAATTTCTAAACTGCGACTGTGCCTTCAATTTTAATACTTCAGAGACATACCATGCATCAAAATGTAGGTCTGGGTCTTGTGATTCTCACAATATAAAGCTCTTCGCTGTAAGAGTTATAGTTTTTAAGATACGACCGTTTGAAGATGGCAACCGCCAAAATACTCTGACCTGTGTCAGGCTGCAGCAGCAAGTGATGTCACAGACAGGGCCTTTTGAACACCTGCTAATGTTTTTATAAATGTATGGTTTAATGTAACTGTGCAACAACGTTGCAATTAAATGTGCTATATAAATGATAACAGTTACTCCGCCCACTCCAGTTGTAGACTACAGGTGGTGGCAAGAACACTTCACACAATTTCCCCAGAAATTGTAACTTTTCTAGTTATTATTTATTATTATTTATTATATTATTATTATTCATTATATTATTATTTATTATTTATTTTATTATTATTTATTATATTATTATTTATTTACAATATTATTATTTATTATAATATTATATTATTATTTATTATATTATTATTATTTATTATTATTATATTATTATTTATTATTATTTATTATATTATTATTATTATTTATTATATTATTATTTATTATTATTATTATTATTTATTATTATTTATTATATTATTATTATATTATTATTTATTATATTATCAGTATTATTATTATTTATTATATTATTATTATTTATTATATTATTATTATTATTTATTTAGTGCTGTTACATGTTGCTTTGTGACAATAAATAGACCATTTAGAGCCCAGATTCCAGCCTATACTGCGCTCTGGTTTCCATGGAAACCCATCCCACGCAGCTGCTGAAACGCATTGTCAAACCAGGAACCTAGGTTTGCGTTTCACGCCTCGCTTCCGGATATGACGGACGCTGATTGGCCGGCCCGGCAGCCACGCCCCTTTGTTTACCTAAATCCAGCATGGCGGCTGTGCCGTGTTCGCGGTAGATAGCGGAACATGTGGAGCGGGTTATTACCGCCCGGGGTCCGGGAGAGCGATTTATCGGAGGAGGAGCCAGAGCCAGGAGCGGCAGGGGGCCCCGGGGCTGAGACTGGAGAACCGAACTGCATTGTGGGAGTCCCTGACAGCAGCTACACTGTATGTATAGGCCAGACCAGGCCATAGAGCACCGATAGAATGGATTGGGATAGACCAAACCATAGAGCACCGATAGAATGGATTGGGACAGGCCAGACCATAGAGCACCGATAGAATGGATTGGGACAGGCCAGACCATAGAGCACCGATAGAATGGATTGGGACAGGCCAGACCATAGAACACCGATAGAATGGATTGGGATAGACCAAACCATAGAGCACCGATAGAATGGATTGGGACAGGCCAGACCATAGAGCACCGATAGAATGGATTGGGACAGGCCAGACCATAGAGCACCGATAGAATGGATTGGGACAGGCCATAGAACACCAATAGAATGGATTGGGACAGGCCATAGAACACCAATAGAATGGATTGGGACAGGCCATAGACCGCAGATAGAATGGATTGGGACAGACCAGACCATAGAGCACCGATAGAATGGATTGGGATAGACCAAACCATAGAACACCGATAGAATGGATTGGGACAGGCCATAGAACACCAATAGAATGGATTGGGACAGGCCATAGACCGCAGATAGAATGGATTGGGACAGGCCAGACCATAGAACACCGACAGAATGGATTGGGACAGGCCAGACCATAGAACGCAGATGGAATGGATTGGGACAGACCAGACCATAGAGCACCGATAGAATGGATTGGGACAGGCCATAGAACACCAATAGAATGGATTGGGACAGGCCATAGACCGCAGATAGAATGGATTGGGACAGGCCAGACCATAGAACACCGATAGAATGGATTGGGACAGGCCATAGACCGCAGATAGAATGGATTGGGACAGGCCAGACCATAGACCGCAGATAGAATGGATTGGGACAGGCCATAGAACACCAATAGAATGGATTGGGACAGGCCATAGAACACCGATAGAATGGATTGGGATAGACCAGACCATAGATCACCGATAGAATGGATTGGGATAGACCATAGAACACCGATAGAATGGATTGGGACAGGCCATAGACCGCAGATAGAATGGATTGGGACAGGCCAGACCATAGAACACCGATAGAATGGATTGGGAAAGGCCATAGAACGCAGATGGAATGGATTGGGACAGACCAGACCATAGAGCACCGATAGAATGGATTGGGACAGGCCATAGAACACCAATAGAATGGATTGGGACAGGCCATAGAACACCAATAGAATGGATTGGGACAGGCCATAGACCGCAGATAGAATGGATTGGGACAGACCAGACCATAGAGCACCGATAGAATGGATTGGGATAGACCAAACCATAGAACACCGATAGAATGGATTGGGACAGGCCATAGAACACCAATAGAATGGATTGGGACAGGCCATAGAGCACCAGACCATAGAACACCGATAGAATGGATTGGGACAGGCCATAGAACGCAGATGGAATGGATTGGGACAGACCAGACCATAGAGCACCGATAGAATGGATTGGGACAGGCCATAGAACACCAATAGAATGGATTGGGACAGCCATAGAACACCAATAGAATGGATTGAAGGAAAAATACAGACCTGAGAGACAGAATGGATTGGGGACAGACTGCACTTCATAGAGCAATCGATGAATGGATTGACAGAATTTCAAACCAGAACATCGATAGAATGGATTGGGATTGCGCCAAGGAACAATCAATAGAATGGATTGGGACAGGCCAAGGACCGCAGGATAGAATGGATTGGGATTGAGTCAGACCGACAGAATCGATAGAATGGATTGGGACAGCCATAGAACCAGATGGAATGGATTGGGAATGCGACCAGACCATAGATAATCGACAGAATGGATTGGGACAGGGCCATAGAATCAATAGAATGGATTGGGACAGGCCATAGAACACCGATAGAATGGATTGGGACAGGCCATAGAACACCGATAGAATGGATTGGGACAGGCCAGACCATAGAGCACCGATAGAATGGATTGGGACAGGCCAGACCATAGAGCACCGATAGAATGGATTGGGACAGACCATAGAACACCAATAGAATGGATTGGGACAGGCCATAGAACACCGATAGAATGGATTGGGATAGACCAGACCATAGATCACCGATAGAATGGATTGGGATAGACCATAGAACACCGATAGAATGGATTGGGATAGACCATAGAACGCAGATAGAATGGATTGGGACAGACCAGACCATAGAGCACCGATAGAATGGATTGGGATAGACCAAACCATAGAACACCGATAGAATGGATTGGGACAGGCCATAGAACACCAATAGAATGGATTGGGACAGGCCATAGACCGCAGATAGAATGGATTGGGACAGGCCAGACCATAGAACACCGACAGAATGGATTGGGACAGGCCAGACCATAGAACGCAGATGGAATGGATTGGGACAGACCAGACCATAGAGCACCGATAGAATGGATTGGGACAGGCCATAGAACACCAATAGAATGGATTGGGACAGGCCATAGACCGCAGATAGAATGGATTGGGACAGACCAGACCATAGAACACCGATAGAATGGATTGGGACAGGCCATAGACCGCAGATAGAATGGATTGGGACAGGCCAGACCATAGACTGCAGATAGAATGGATTGGGACAGGCCATAGAACACCAATAGAATGGATTGGGACAGGCCATAGAACACCGATAGAATGGATTGGGATAGACCAGACCATAGATCACCGATAGAATGGATTGGGATAGACCATAGAACACCGATAGAATGGATTGGGATAGACCATAGAACGCAGATAGAATGGATTGGGACAGCCCAGACCATAGAGCACCCGATAGGAATGGATTGGGACGGCCAGACCATAGAGCACCGATAGAATGGATTGGGACAGGCCATAGAACACCGATAGAATGGATTGGGATAGACCAGACCATAGAACACAGATAGAATGGATTGGGACAGGCCAGACCATAGAACACCGATAGAATGGAGTGGGACAGGCCATAGAACACCGATAGAATGGATTGGGACAGGCCATAGAACGCAGATAGAATGGATTGGGATAGACCAGGCCATAGAGCGCAGATAGAATGGATTGGGACAGGCCATAGAGCGCAGATAGAATGGATTGGGACAGGCCATAGAACACCGATAGAATGGATTGGGACAGACCAGACCATAGACCGCAGATAGAATGGATTGGGACAGGCCAGACCATAGAACACCGATAGAATGGATTGGGACAGGCCAGACCATAGAACACCGATAGAATGGATTGGAACAGGCCAGACCATAGAACACCGATAGAATGGATTGGGGACAGACCATAGAACACCGATAGAATGGATTGGGACAGGCCAGACCATAGAGCACCGATAGAATGGATTGGGGACAGGCCAGGCCATAGAGCACCGATAGAATGGATTGGGATAGACCAGACCATAGAACACCGATAGAATGGATTGGGATAGACCAGACCATAGAACACCGATAGAATGGATTGGGGACAGACCATAGAACACCGATAGAATGGATTGGGGACAGACCATAGAATGGATTGGGACAGGCCAGACCATAGAACACCGATAGAATGGATTGGGACAGGCCATAGAACACCGATAGAATGGATTGGGACAGGCCATAGAGACACCGATGGGAATGGTTAGGACAGACCATGCAGAACACAGGAGAAAGTAGAATGGATTAGGACAGGCAGACCATAGAACACCGATAGAATGGTTAGGGGACAGACCATAGAACACGATACAGAATGAATTAGAGGACAGACCATAGAACACCCGATAGAATGGATTGGGGACAGACCATAGAACACGAATACAGAATGAATTTAGGACAGGCCAGACCATAGAACACCGATACAGAATGGTTGAGGGACAGACCATAGAACACCCACGATAGAATGGTTGGGGACAGACCATAGAACACCGATAGAATGGATTGGGGACAGACCATAGAACACAGATAGAATGGATTGGGACAGGCCAGACCATAGAACACCGATTGAATGGATTGGGACAGGCCATAGAACACCGATAGAATGGATTGGGACAGGCCATAGAACACCGATAGAATGGATTGGGACAGGCCAGACCATAGAACACCGATATAATGGATTGGGACAGGCCAGACCATAGAACACCGATATAATGGATTGGGACAGGCCAGACCATAGAGCACCGATAGAATGGATTGGGACAGGCCAGACCATAGAGCACCGATAGAATGGATTGGGGACAGGCCAGGCCATAGAGCACCGATAGAATGGATTGTAATAGACCAGACCATAGAGCACTGATAGAATGGATTGGGTTAGACCAGACCATAGAACACCGATAGAATGGATTGGGATAGACCAGACCATAGAACACCGATAGAATGGATTGGGACAGGCCATCGAACACCGATAGAATGGATTGGGACAGGCCATAGAAACACCGATAGAATGGATTGGGACAGGCCAGACCATAGAACACCGATAGAATGGATTGGGACAGGCCAGACCATAGAACACCGATAGAATGGATTGGGACAGGCCAGACCATAGAGCACCGATAGAATGGATTGGGGACAGACCATAGAACACCGATAGAATGGATTGGGGACAGACCATAGAACACAGAATGGATTGGGACAGGCCAGACCATAGAACACCGATAGAATGGATTGGGACAGGCCATAGAACACCGATAGAATGGATTGGGACAAGCCATAGACCACAGATAGAATGGATTGGGACAGGCCATAGACCCCAGATAGATTGGATTGGGACAGGCCAGACCATAGAACACCGATATAATGGATTGGGATAGACCAGACCATAGAACACCGATAGAATGGATTGGGGACAGGCCATCCATAGAGCACCGATAGAATGGATTGGGATAGACCAGACCATAGAGCACCGATAGAATGGATTGGGATAGACCAGACCATAGAACACCGATAGAATGGATTGGGACAGGCCAGACCAGAGAACACCGATAGAATGGATTGGGGACAGACCATAGAACACAGATAGAATGGATTGGGACAGGCCAGACCATAGAACACAGATAGAATGGATTGGGACAGGCCAGACCATAGAACACCGATAGAATGGATTGGGACAGGCCAGACCATAGAACACCGATAGAATGGATTGGGACAGGCCTTAGAACACCGATAGAATGGATTGGGGACAGACCATAGAACACCGATAGAATGGATTGGGGACAGACCATAGAACACCGATAGAATGGATTGGGACAGGCCATAGAACACCGATAGAATGGATTGGGACAGGCCATAGAACACCGATAGAATGGATTGGGACAAGCCATAGACCACAGATAGAATGGATTGGGACAGGCCATAGACCCCAGATAGATTGGATTGGGACAGGCCAGACCATAGAACACCGATATAATGGATTGGGATAGACCAGACCATAGAACACCGATAGAATGGATTGGGGACAGGCCATCCATAGAGCACCGATAGAATGGATTGGGATAGACCAGACCATAGAGCACCGATAGAATGGATTGGGATAGACCAGACCATAGAACACCGATAGAATGGATTGGGACAGGCCATCGAACACCGATAGAATGGATTGGGACAGGCCATAGAAACACCGATAGAATGGATTGGGACAGGCCAGACCATAGAACACCGATAGAATGGATTGGGACAGGCCAGACCATAGAACACCGATAGAATGGATTGGGACAGGCCAGACCATAGAACACCGATAGAATGGATTGGGATAGGCCAGACCATAGACCCCAGATAGAATGGATTGGGATAGACCAGACCATAGACCGCAGATAGAATGGATTGGGATAGACCCCAGATAGAATGGATTGGGATAGACCGCAGATAGAATGGATTGGGATAGACCCCAGATAGAATGGATTGGTATAGACCAGACCATAGACCGCAGATAGAATGGATTGGGATAGACCAGACCATAGACCGCAGATAGAATGGATTGGGACAGACCGCAGATAGAATGGATTGGGATAGACCAGACCAAGACCGCAGATAGAATGGATTGGGACAGACCGCAGATAGAATGGATTGGGACAGACCAGACCATAGACCGCAGATAGAATGGATTGGGACAGGCCAGACCATAGAACACCGATAGAATGGATTGGGATAGGCCAGACCATAGACCCCAGATAGAATGGATTGGGATAGACCAGACCATAGACCGCAGATAGAATGGATTGGTATAGACCAGACCATAGATCACCGATAGAATGGATTGGGATAGACCAGACCATAGACCGCAGATAGAATGGATTGGGACAGACCGCAGATAGAATGGATTGGGATAGACCAGACCAAGACCGCAGATAGAATGGATTGGGACAGACCGCAGATAGAATGGATTGGGACAGACCAGACCATAGACCGCAGATAGAATGGATTGGGACAGGCCAGACCATAGACCGCAGATAGAATGGATTGGGACAGACCACAGACTGCAGATAGAATGGATTGGGATAGACCAAAGATAGAATGGATTGGGACAGACCACAGACCGCAGATAGAATGGATTGGGACAGGCCAGACGATAGACCCCAGATAGAACTATTTCTAAAGGTAAATGCACAAAATATACATGCCACATGTAGTGAATGCAGTGTGACAGGGGAGCAGTGTGTATTTGTGTAGTGGATGCAGTGTGGGACGCAAAAATGCCCCCTCACACACTCCATTATATACACATACACTACACAAACACACTGTGTATATAATGCAGTGTGTGTGTGTTTGTATAGTGTGTGTATATAATGCAGTGTGTGCAATGTATACCCACACACACACACACTGCATTATATACACAGTGTGTTTGTGTAGTGTATGTGTATATAATGGAGTGTGTGAGGGGGCATTTTTTATTAAATTATTATTTATTTTTTTATATTTATTTAATTATTATTTATTTTTGTTGTCCCCCCTCCCTGCTTGTTGCCTGGCCAGGGAGGGGGGATATAGCAGTCCCTGGTGGTCCAGTGGTATTGGCTGAGCTTTGGGGGGGGCGGACAGCAAGCGCTTACTCACCTCCCAGCAGCTCCCCAGTGCAACTCTCGCGGCCAGCGTGTCGCGCGGAGCGTTGCCATGGTGATCCATGGCAACGCTCTGACGGCCGCGGGTCTCGCGAGAGTTGCACTGGGGAGCTGGAGGAGCTGCCGGGAGGTGAGTAAGCGCTTGCTAAGACCTGCTAAGGACAGATGATTATTATTACTATGTCCTGATATGTAAAAGCATAGAATTCAAAGAGGGTGCACTTTCTTTTTCCCGGGACTGTATGTATATATTTGTATAAAACTTGAAGTCCTGTGTTACTATCCAGACCTATGTGAGCTTTAGCACACACCCCATGACTGAATTCTACTCACTAAGGCTATATTTTTACTCGCTAATGGCTAACTATATATTTGGGAAGAATAGTCTTCACATGCATCTGCTACAATCAATATTTGTATTACTTAGAAGTAATTAAGTGTAAAGTTACTAAAATTAAGATATGATCAATGGATACACCTGCATCAAGGCCTTTGCTCATAGATCTTAGTTTGTTCACCTGGGTGGGTGGAGGATATTGTCACCAATATTAAATGTATTTTGATCCCAGGGATTGCAATTTCGTTGACATTTGTAGGGTAATTAGTCTAATAAATATGTAGCTAGGCAAAAATAATTCACTATGAAGATCCCTTGATAAGCTTCACGCGGGGGTTCCTTGGAAGCCATCTCTGTATCAGCTATGAAAACTGAGCTCTTCTGGGTCACATCCTGATAAGGTTGACTCAATTTGACAAAATTGGAGTGACTTAGAGAGATTAAAGGCAAGTTCTCTGCAGATGTTCGAGATAATGGAAGCACTGTCTGAGTATCGCTCATCAACTCCCTTGACGTGGGCTCCTAGTTTCAGGTTTCAGGACCGCTAACTACAACTTTGAAAATGTAAAATATCTAATCCTAAATCTAGTATTCAATAGCTGCAGGCTGGATGCTAATTCTCTGGCACATAATCCTTTTATTTTTAATATATACTTCATTGCCACCTGTTTGTCACTTGTGTAGTATAAATGGAATGATGTCTATAGACTACTAGTCGATGGATGTGTGACTAACGTATTAGATTAGCAGTGAAAGAGAATCTTTTAGGATCAGAAGGATGCAGAAACATCTACACTCTTCCCATATCAAATACCTTCATCAGCCATCGTATCATATATTCAGCAAAGCCAGTCACATGAACAGAACACCGTTTATGAAGACAAGTTAAGTACAGATCTTTACCCATCTCTACCATTGTTATTTATTTTTATTTTTTTGGTCCCAAGAGTGCACTTTGCTGTCTTTCCACCCTTTCGTGTAATTAAATATTTACAATATATTGACACTCTCTGATCCTATGGAAGTACATTAACATCTAGAAACAGAATGTCAGTGCAGACTATTAATCTGTCCTTGGAAGTATTTTGCAATGTGTACACCATGCATGTCAAACTCAAATGCTAGCACGGGCCAAATAAACAAGGTTTAAGCTTATGTGGGCCGCAAAAAAACCCTTCCATTTTCATAGAAATGTAGGTTTGTTTTGAAAAGTACAGTATAAATAAACAGCATCCCAGTTCCCCTCTCTATACTAATTCCCAGTTCCCCCCTCTATACTAAAACCCATTCTCCCCCTCTACTAAAACCCAGCCCCACACCCCCCACTAAACCGCGGCCCTTGTTTTAAAAAAATAAATAAATACGCCAACAAGCAGACTCCACTCACGTTGGCGCTGCCAGTTTGCGAATCCGGAGTCCAGCCTCTGATATACGCCCAATGGCGCCGTCTGGACCCTGTGCCTCCTGCTACTCCTTGAAACCCTGTGAAGGTGGAGCAGGTTGATGTCACGTCAGACTGTGACGTGGCGTTGTGTACCTGCATGCACCACCAGGTCCTCCAGCCGCAGTCATCGCAACACACTCACTCTCTGACAGTCACACACAAACATTGTAGCGGAGCTGCAACATTAAAATCGATATCTCTGTAGAACATCAAAGAAAGCGCAGTATATTCCCAATTCCCCCAGTAACCGGACGATACACAGTTCTGGGAGTCAACTGTTTAATGGTAACCACGCACAGCCTTTTATGTGTGTCCCCATCTAAGGGGCATTTCCTACTGGACCTGAGAGGGGACAGGCACAAAGTACACAACATAGGTCCAGGACATGTACAGTAATAAACGCCCTTTTTATAATACGGTACCCCCTCAAGTACTATATCCCTGGATAGCCTGGATCTGAGCACCCAACATATCTCGAAAGCACACCGATCCCACGAACGTAGCCGAAACGCCACCGGGCTATAGCTTAGGCTGACTGCACATGAGGCCCCTGCCCACAAGAGTTCCATGAAATCGGGCTGTGTGGTCAGTCTTTCGGAAGTACAAAACACAATAAAATAACGAATGTAACTGTTCGTATATTAGTTGATTGTGTGTCCCTCGTTCGGGAGTTTGTTCTCCACGAATGCCACTCTTCTTAGGTGAATGGGACCAAGCACATGTAGAGGTGGAAGTTCCAGCGGTGTTCGCACAGTCGAGTGTCCGATTATAGTTCAATGCACTTGACAACCAAACACCGCTGTATGTGTTCGCGGCTAAAGATGGCCGCCACCACGTATTCAGTCATACGAACAGCGGCCACCCGGCTGACCACCTAGAACCTCGCGGTTTCTAAGTGTTAAGGGGGGTAATAGGGTCAATTGGCAGCATACGACTCCATGTGTGGTCTAACTGTTCGGGGGTTAGTTCTGTATACGAAAAATATAACTATAACTTGTTCGGTGGACCCCAGTTGTCGAACCAGATAAGTCCCTGATTTAACAGTACATAATCCAAATAGATAACTTGTTCTGCCACACACTCTGACAGAGACACACACACACACACACACACACACTCTCTCTGACAGACATACTCCCACACAAACACACACACACACATCTACACATTCTTGCACACACTTACATCATTTGATTTATTGCTCCCTACCTTTGGGAGCTGGTGTGTGTCTCCCTTGCTGCTCACTGCTCCCTCACGTGTGCAGTTTAGTAATGACATATTTCGGCACCTGGCATCACTGCAGCGGGCACGCACAACGGAGCAGTGAGGACAGAAAGACTGAGCTCCCTCGCTGCCGCCAGTGACCTCTCCTCCCGGGCCGGGTACATTTTAGCAGAGTAGGCACCTGCAATGTGGGGAAGAGCAGGTGCCTACTCTGCCTTAGTAAGCATGTCTCATACTCGCGGCTCGCCGGGTAGTAACAGTAGTCATTGTGGGCCGGGAGTGCTTGGGGTACACCATCTCTGGTTTAGGAGTATTGTAATGCTTTAATAGTTCTAGTTATGATCCTTTTATGACTTCACATGTCATGTACCAGGCTGTGATCACACTAACATGATCCATTTACTAAACTTAGAATTGGCAAAAATTCAAACGTTAGACCAAAATAGCAGAATGAGAAAAAAAGTGCCATGTTTGTTTTCAATGTGGCTGTAAATTTGACATTCATTGTGAATTCTGGCAATCCTTACTTTAGTGAGTAACCTTGTAATTATTTTTTAATAATGTATTGCTTGCGTGCAGCTTCCTGTTGGTTAGAGATGACTTAAATGTCTACCTTTGTCTGATTTTTAGCTTTAATAGAAAAAGCATTCTGAACGCTGTGTTACCTTAAAGCTGATCTGTCATTTTGTGGGATTTGTTTTTAAATTGATCCTTTTTGTCCCTCTATTTCTCTTTTTCACCATAGGTTTTTTGTTATCCATAAGTAAAGGATCTCATGGAGTGTGTGATGTTTTGGTAACAGACAGGGTCTGGGTAGAGTTCCATTTCAGTTTATCCATAATCCATCAAAATAGTCCCATAAAGGGCCAGCTGCAGACTATGTGAGGAGAGCATTCTGCGCAGTTGGCGACACCAGTCGTCCTGCCTCATATCTCATCCTTTTGTGGAGTTTAGGTTCCTTCTGATTTTAGTGGGAACAGGAATTTTAAATTAATAAATTAGGCAGACGAAATAAACTACTTTTGTAGGGTATTTTTTTTCTTGTTTTGTTTATAAGTTTGCTGGGATTTTAGGAACATATTTGTTGGCAAATGTAGACTTCTCACACCTGGTGTAACCAGAAAATGTTCTTCTCTGTGAGTAACTCTTCCATTTGGGTTTTGTCTTCTATTAGAAATTAATGGAACTTCAAAAGAAACGTCTCGAATTGAAAGCTCAAGCTAGCAGGATGGAGAAGAGAAAAAGTCTACGGAAAAGTAAATCGTTATTTTAAATACATTTATATGAAAATTGGCATATTTTGGAATGTGGATATTTTTCAAATATAATGGAACAAACAGAGCCCATTAAGGAAGCCATGCCACCAGACAATCGTGAGATGTGACTTCCCAGGATTTGTAATATTCTGTTTGCTCGTTTTCTTTATTTAAAGGGATACCCCAGGCAGCTTACTGTAGTGGTTATGGTGACTGGAACTTGCCTTCTTACATGGGGTCCAGTGTGTGCCGCTGCCTACCTGCTCTACCAAAACGGCAGAGCAGTAACTTCTGTCAACTGCCCTGAGCTAAGCCCAGCGATAGATCAGTGCAACTGATTGCACTCAGCCAAATAGCGAAACACCTAGTGGAGTGGAGAAGGTGGTCGCCAAGTATAACGTTTCATTCCTTTTATTGTGGGGGGGGGGGAGACAGTACAGCCATAGTGGTTGTGGTGTCTGGGCCTTTTACAGATGTGTTTGTGGGGTTTGAAATATCAAATTAAATGTAGAAATTCGCACCACTGTGTTTGGCTCAATCATAGAACAGAGTGCCTCCATCTTGACTCCCTGCCATTCACTGTTATAAGTTCTGTCCTGTCTACGTTGAGGTGGAGAGGCAATGTTTTGGCTGTGCCTGGACTGAAGTGGAAATCTGTAATATAAATATAGAAGGAAATAATCATTAAAACTATTTTAAATGTTTTATTTATTGATGTAATTTCCAATAAATTGATGGCCGCCCTTTAAAATATAAAAAAATTTCTTTGAAAAGTTTAATATGTAATGGGTTGGAATAATCAGATTGAGGTAAAAAGAAAAATACAATGTGTGTTGTAGGCCTTCAAAATGTATAATTCATTAGCCAGTTTTTACAATGAAATCGATTTGTTGTCTATAAAGAAACACTTTGGAACACTGATCTGGAGTGCACCCCTTCTCCTAATAAAAACTGATTTACTTAGTACACTTTTTAATTCAGCCGTATCACCTTTTCCCTCTTGAAGGGGTGAGCACTGGTGGGATTATCCCCCCTTTTTTTTTTTTTTTTTGGCTTCTCATTTTATTTAAAGGGGGTAATATAAGCTTCTAATCACTTATGATCAGTGAAGTGGTTTTGGTATTTAGTGCAGTATCACAGCTCAATCTCTTCACATTTAAGAGTTAAACCCACCCAAACCACACCTCCCCTGGCAGTGACTCTACCTACTTCTATTTCATTCAGTGACAGTGTGTCTTTACGTTAGGAGTTCTAAGCTCCTGTTAAAGGGCCACTCTTTGGATGATTCCCAAGGTGCCGTCTTACCAAAATTCTGTCCCTGAGTGCCCATCCCTCTGCCTCGACTGCTCTGCTATTGGGAAAACATTGGATTGGTGACCAGTAATAGGTTGAGAGGGCCAGCTGAGGCTCTCAGCTTATTACTGGCTGCTATTTGCCATAGTGCTTGACACATAAGTCAGCAGTATATAGCGCAATAAAGTATTCCTCCAGATCCTGCTGTTTGCAATCCGTAAGCAGTGAAGATATTCAGCACGTATTTCACAGCCACCTACATAGGTGCTTTAACTTATTGTGATATGCTATTTGAACAGCAAATAGAGTTGCTGGTCTCATTAGACTTATCGTGCTGTATAGCAGGGATTTCAAAAATGTGTGCAATTTGTTTTTTGGGTGAATTTATTTCTGGTGCAGATTAAGTTCCCCTTTAAGTTAGACTGTTGGTGGTTTAGTTATGGCTAGTGAGGTGCAAAACTTGGCCTGTTCTTCTCTTTTGTTTGCTATGTTACCCTCCTCAATGTTATGTTCAGTAACCTTTTGATGGAATAGATTTTTATATACAAAGAACGGTGTTCTAATGGTCTTTAACGTTCATGCTGCCCAGAATGCAATTTTCATGCAGTGCATTGGGGAGATGCTACACATATAAGAAGGGCCTCCATGCAGTGCATTGGGGAGATTCTACACATATAGGGAGGGCCTCCATGCAGTGCATTGGGGAGATTCTACACCTATCGGAAGGGCCTCCATGCAATGCATTGGGGAGATGCTACACATATAAGAAGGGCCTCCATGCAGTGCATTGGGGAGATTCTACACATATAGGGAGGGCCTCCATGCAGTGCATTGGGGAGATTCTACACCTATCGGAAGGGCCTCCATGCAGTGCATTGTGGAGATTCTATACCTATCGGAAGGGCCTCCATGCAGTGCATTGTGGAGATTCTACACCTATCGGAAGGGCCTCCTGTGCAGTGCATTGTGGAGATTCTACACATATCGGAGGGGTGCTTGTTGGTATGGACTGACAATCTAGTGTGTTAATGTAGGCTTTCATTTATTTTATAGGGAAACATAAAGAGAAGACAACCGGAAATCAAGAGATGAATAACAGGTATTTACTGATTTTATCAATATAATATCACACTCCCTTCTGTGAGCGTTTCCATGCTGTTGGGTGCTTGGTGTTTATATTTCCTATCTTTTAATATAAGGAACATAGCATCCCCTCCATTGGTGCTTTAAAGATTATCCGTTGTTTGATGCCATTAATAAGGTCTCTTTTTTTTTTTTTTTTTTCAGCCCAGCTCCTGCAAAGAATTCTGCGTTAGATACTCTCCAGCCATACTTTGAGGCAAGTGATCGATTTGAACCTCCAGTCTGCATCAAAATCATTAAGAAGGTGAGTACTCCCTTTTTCTGGAAATTCGTTTGAGTTGCTAATCAAGACAGTATTTCTTGGTAAAACATCCTCTCTGTGATAAACTGCTCTGCCCTGCTTACTCTATCACACTGTGGCAAAACTAGCCATTTAAGACTGTATTTTTATGTATGTGTTACTATCCCTTTAAAGACTGTAAGAACCAAGTGAATACCTGTATAGGCATATTATACGAACGAGAGCATTCGTATGCTGGCAGCAAGAAAGCCACCAGCATTCATACAGTAGTTTCATAAACAGTGAATTTCAACCCTGTTCGTGAAACGAATTAACTACTGAATGGGAGACCACACACAGGAGGTTGTGTGGCTCCCATTAAATATTGCAACAATGTTTCATTCAGTAATTATCGAGATTCATGGTGGCCGGCGGTCGGCCATCTTGGATTCTTTGTTAGCCCAGCGGTATTTGGTCGTCGAGCGCCTGGAACTAAAATCGGCTACTCGACGGCACGAATACCGCTGGACTTCCAGGCTGTTCGGGAGCACCGGTCATTCAGTAGTTTGTTCCCCTATTGACAATCGGTACTTTGGATACAAATGTAAAATAATATGTGATTCGTGCGGCGTTAGTTTTGCTGGGATCTGAGCGGTACTTGCACGAAATGTGTGCTCAGACCCCAGAACGTTCATTCGTTAAAATAAGGTGAATAATGCAAAAGTTATACATTTTTATGTGAAATGTCGGTTCTGCTGCACGGAGGTATAATCCACTTAACTGGATATTCTAGTGGGAGTATCCCTCTCATACAGCAGTGCATGATGGGAGAAATGTCCAGGTTGTTAAGTTCCCCATGTAGTCCCCTACTGTACAACCCCTGTAATGTCAGTAGGGAAACCCCTTCCATGGGGAATCCCATAAATACTGTGACCTGAGATTAAAACCTCAGTTGACTCCCAGCCTATGTGTCGTCTAATTCTTGGGAAGGAAGGATTCTTATAACGCTACCGGAATTATTGTATGCTGTACTTATTTTGCTTGGATTATTTTATGCTGTTCCTGTTACCCAGCGGAGATACTGTGGATTATACTACCTCTCCGCTACACACACACACGATGCTCTTTAATTAAAATCTAAAAGTATTGGTTAATAAAAGTCTGTTTACTGACAATGTCCCCTGGTTCATGATACAACTGTTTTTCAAACAGTTTGACCAAAACACTGGGTTCCTGGGTCACCTGCAGCCTCTAGACCCCCTACCACCCCCATTTGCCAGAATTGTGAAAGTTCCACATTTGCTCACACTACTTGAAAACAGTTTGACCAAGAACTGCAGTAACGGGCCCTCTGCCTTACAGCACAATGACCTGTAGAGTGGCAGGTGATGCTGTATAGGGCTGTTGGCTTCCCCTGATATTCCCAGGGATGTATTTAGTATAAGATTCTGTTGGCTAGGTGTGACAGCACATGTAAACCTGCGTATTGCTTAACAGACATGGTGCAGCCCTATAATGCCTTACCATGAGATCTTAAAGGTAGGCAGACAATGTAATAGAGCAGCAGGAAATGCTAGCAGAATGCTTGGTTGTATAGGGAGAGGTATTAGCAGTAGAAAGAGGGAAGTGTTCATGCCATTGTACAGAACACTGGTGAGACCTCACTTGGAGCATTGTACGCAGTACTGGAGACCGTATCTTCAGAAGGATATTGATACCTTAGAGAGGGTTCAGAGAAGGGCTACTAAACTGGTTTATGGATTGCGGGATAAAACTTACCAGGAAAGGTTAAAGGATCTTAACATGTATAGCTTGGAGGAAAGACGAGACAGGGGGGATATGATAGAAACATTTAAATATATAAAAGGGAATCAACACAGTAAAGGAGGAGACTATATTTAAAAGAAGAAATACTACCACAACAAGAGGACATAGTCTTAAATTAGAGGGACAAAGGTTTAAAAATAATATCAGGAAGTATTACTTTACTGAGAGGGTAGTGGATGCATGGAATAGCCTTCCAGCTGAAGTGGTAGAGGTTAACACAGTAAAGGAGTTTAAGCATGCGTGGGATAGGAATAAGGCTATCTTAACTATAAGATAAGACTAGGGACTAATGAAAGTATTTAGAAAATTGGGCAGACTAGATGGGCCGAATGGTTCTTATCTGCCGTCACATTCTATGTTTCTATGTTTCTACCAATCAAGGTTCCAGTGTTTAATATTTTTTTTTTTCTGACCGCTTCTCTGTAGTCCCGCCTGGAAGATGCTATGGACCAAGCTGTAAAGGGTGGAGATATTGAAACAGCAGAGGAACTAAGTGACAGGCTGGCAACTCGCGAGGCAAGTGTCATTGATCCATTCAGGTTATGTCAGGATCAGGCTTGTGTGCTAATGTTTGCAGTAGTTAGAGGGAAGGGAGATTCCTGATCTGTGTCTCTCGCTATTTGTTTTTTTTTCCTAGTTAATTTATAGCAGCTTTGATTAAAGTCGACTAATTATCAGTTTTCTTCTGCCAAGTAGTGTGTGGAGGGGAATATTTTACTTTTTTCACATATTTTAGTAATCAGAATTAATGAGGACATAAAACAACCCTTTTTTTGTTTAAAAAAAAAAAAAGTCTTATACAATGATTTTATAGGTTTAAACAGGTTTTTTTTTTTTTTTAAATGTTTTCTACTATGTTTATCAATATTTTCTTTATATTAAAAAACAAACATTGCCAAAAGTATTTGTAGTTACTGAACTATATTTGCAAAAGGTTGTCTGTAATAACCGCTGGATTTTTATATTGTAATGTCTGCCTGTGCTGATATGTTTTAGAGCATTCGTATGCTAGCAGCCGAAAGCCTCTAGCATTCATGTATTTCGTTTCACCAACAGAGACTTTGCCGGCTGTTCGTGAAACGAATGAGCTACCACCCAGTAGCCCACACACAGAGGGTCGTGTGGCACCCATTAATCTGCCAACAGAACTTGATATCATTACATTTACATTAATATCACTGAAGCAGTGCAGTCCAGATTCACTTTCATGGAAATGTCTGTTTGTATAAAAAAAATCACATATTTTTCCTGATTTGTTCTAGAAATTGAATGCGCATGTTGTAGAGTTTGTAATTCTCGTCTCATTAGTCTCATTGCTTTTCTCTCTGCACTTATTCTGCTACGTCCAAATGACTAGGTGACTGTGATATATATTTTGTTTTGGTATATTCTGAACCTCGTGGGTGTGATTATACAGGAGAAGCTTCAACCAATGAGGACAGTTCACTGAGAATGTAAGCAAGGCAATGCCTCTACTTCACCCCGTGCCGTGAGCGAGAGGTTGCAATGTTGCAGTCGTTAGTTAAGGGCTTTCCTAGGTGGCCGTCATTCGGCTACCGACCACGCGGCGGTCGGCCATCTTGGATCCTTTGTTTCACCAGCGATGTTTGGTTGTCGAGCGCGTGAAGCTGAAATCGGCTACTCGACAGCGTGGACACCGCTGGGCTTCCAGGCCATTCGGGAGCTCTGCTCTTTCACTATTCTGGTTCCCCATCTGCGTTCGGTACTTTTAGGCGAACACAATGTTAAAATGTATTTCGTACGGCGTTCGGTTATTTATGCTGGGATCTGAGCGGTATTCTCACGAAATGTGCGCTCAGACCCCAGCTATCTACCGAACGTCCATTCGTTTAAATCAAGTGAATGATGGCAAAGTTATGTATTTTAATGTAAAATGTCGGTTCTGCTGCACGGAGGGATAATCCACTTAACGGTATATTCCAGTGGGAGTATCCCTCTCGTCCAGCAGTGCCTGATGGGAGAAATGTCCAGACTGTTAAGTCCCCCATGTAGTCCCCTATTGTATAACCCCTGCAATGTCAGTAAGGAAACCCCTTGCACGGGGATTTGCATAAATACTGTGACTTGCGAATAAAAGCTCAGTTGACTCCCAGAACTGTGTTTCGTCCGGTTACTGGGGGATTTGGGATATTGCCTTACTTTTCAGCACTTTACTTTGGATTACCTTCTGTACCAGCGGAGATCGTGGAATTTAATATTGCAGCTCCGCTACAGTGTCCACTCTCTGTATCTGTCATTTTGTGTACAATTTTCATTATTAATTATTCTGGAAACCGGAACTTTTCAGGCCATTTGAAAAATAAAGTAAAACAATACTTTTAAAACAGGTTAAAATGAGTCATTCTTGCTTGTCATAGTGATCATGTGCAGCCGGATGTGTTAATGATAAAATAAAACAAACGGTGTACATTTTAAAAACAGTAATAAGGAATTCGTTACTTTGTTCCATTTTGTTTGTAAATGAAAAGATGTTTTGTTGTCAAATATTTATATGTAATTAATAAAATGATGAAATCCTATAAATAACCGCTATAGAAATAACACAATGCTGCTTTGTTTGTAGGGTTTAGAAGAAGTACACTATTACACTGAACTTTGACATGCATTTTAATAAATTATCTGTTTTATATTCTGGGTAATGTATTTTTTACATTTAAGGGGTTAACTAAAAATAATTGGCATATTTTGCTAGAACATGCCAATGTGTGGCTATTGGGGATCCTGCCAAGATAAAGCACTGATTGGTGGGTTAATGAAATATGGACGGTTGGACTAGGATTGTTGAAGCTGCAGATTTGCAGCAAACAATATAAAACCAGAGGTCGTGATCCTGATGTTCTTCGGCATTTTGTGCTCTCTTTAGAACATATTACAACATTAAGGTTGACAATATTTTTTATATTGTTGCTGTTTGAAAGCTTGTATATAAAATAGAGAAATTATTTAAGGGTCAGGACGGGCACTTCATAAATAAATGTCTTATTAAAGTCACATACGCTCTACAACTCTGTCCACATTGACATCTTTGTAAAATAAACCTTATTTTCACTGTAAATGAGCACACCTATTGCTGTAACATGGGCCACATTCATTGTGTGTTTTGGGCAGTCAGTTGGCATGCTAGGATTGTCCTTTTATTATTATATATTTAGTAATTGAGTTGCTACATATTCTGCATCGTTCTGGACGTTGAGCAAGGGCTAGAATATACGGTAATTCAGTAGTTTGACAGACCTAGTAGGATTTGCACGCCTGGCCTGCACACTGTGCAGTGTTAGAATAGTGTTTGTAAAGGGTGAGGAAGCAAAGGTTTCCAGAGAAGCGGGGCAGCTGGGGAGAAGTCTTGTAAACGGCAGGCTGGGGATTTGCTCAGTAGAGATGCTTAGATCAGGACAGCGCCGGGGAGAGGTTACTTGGTGATAACGGTTTGGTTAGAAGTGTAAATTATATTAATGCAGTCAAAAAGCAGTGTGTGTGGTTTTTTTTCATGCTTTCTTGAATGCAGAATGCATATGACAGATTTGCACTCCGATTTCTGTGTGATGGAGTATTAAAGCAGTGTGCATTTTCTGGCAAGTGAAAGGTGTATTGGGAAACAAACTATTGGTTTACGGCATTTCTCTTGCCTTCTTTTTCTTCTCAAGTTGGAAGCTGTGAATCTGTGGAGCT